ATAGACCACAGAGGTCCATCATAGACCAGACATTAGGTCCATCATAGACCACAGAGGTCCATCATAGACCACAGAGGTCCATCATAGACCACAGAGGTCCATCATAGACCACAGAGGTCCATCATAGACCAGACATTAGGTCCATCATAGACCACAGAGGTCCATCATAGACCACAGAGGTCCATCATAGACCACAGAGGTCCATCATAGACCAGACATTAGGTCCATCATAGACCACAGAGGTCCATCATAGACCAGACATTAGGTCCATCATAGACCACAGAGGTCCATCATAGACCACAGAGGTCCATCATAGACCACAGAGGTCCATCATAGACCAGACATTAGGTCCATCATAGACCACAGAGGTCCATCATGGACCAGACATTAGGTCCATCATAGACCACAGAGGTCCATCATAGACCAGACATTAGGTCCATCATAGACCACAGAGGTCCATCATAGACCAGACATTAGGTCCATCATAGACCAGACATTAGGTCCATCATAGACCACAGAGGTCCATCATAGACCACAGAGGTCCATCATAGACCACAGAGGTCCATCATAGACCACAGAGGTCCATCATAGACCACAGAGGTCCATCATAGACCAGACATTAGGTCCATCATAGACCACAGAGGTCCATCATAGACCACAGAGGTCCATCATAGACCACAGAGGTCCATCATAGACCACAGAGGTCCATCATAGACCACAGAGGTCCATCATAGACCACAGAGGTCCATCATAGACCACAGAGGTCCATCATAACCACAGAGGTCCATCATAGACCACAGAGGTCCATCATAGACCACAGAGGTCCATCATAGACCACATAGGTCCATCATAGACCACAGAGGTCCATCATAGACCACACAGGTCCATCATAGACCAGACATTAGGTCCATCATAGACCACAGAAGTCCATCATAGACCACAGAGGTCCATCATAGACCAGACATTAGGTCCATCATAGACCACAGAGGTCCATCATAGACCAGACATTAGGTCCATCATAGACCAGACATTAGGTCCATCATAGACCACAGAGGTCCATCATAGACCACAGAGGTCCATCATAGACCACAGAGGTCCATCATAGACCACAGAGGTCCATCATAGACCCCAGAGGTCCATCATAGACCAGACATTAGGTCCATCATAGACCACAGAGGTCCATCATAGACCACAGAGGTCCATCATAGACCACAGAGGTCCATCATAGACCAGACATTAGGTCCATCATAGACCAGACATTAGGTCCATCATAGACCACTGAGGTCCATCATAGACCACAGAGGTCCATCATAGACCACAGAGGTCCATCATAGACCACAGAGGTCCATCATAGACCACAGAGATCCATCATAGACCAGACATTAGGTCCATCATAGACCAGACATTAGGTCTATCATAGACCACAGAGGTCCATCATAGACCACAGAGGTCCATCATAGACCTCAGAGGTCCATCATAGACCAGACATTAGGTCCGCCATAGACAACATTTAAATACAACAACATAAATCATATACAACCCCTCATATTAAACACAAGACCACTCCACGAACACTACATGTCAACATACGTTTAGTCTAACAAGCTATGATCGATGTCACCAACACTACACATCAACTTACGTTTAGTCTAGCAAGCTATGATTGATGTCACCAACACTACACATCAACTTACGTTTAGTCTACCAAGCTATGATCGATGTCACCAACAGTACACACTTCAGCATAGATTTGACGTCTGAAAATATTCCAGACTTCTAGACTGAAGGAAAAGAATAAAGTGCGTACTCTGTCTGTTTACTTGCTGTGTCGAATAGTGTAGGTGTACATGTTTATTAAACATAGATCTAGATCACACTTTCTCTAAATGGGCCGTAGAATGAATTTAATCAAGATTAAAACAAAATCAATTAAATCAATAGCTTAAAAAATATACGATTGTGCATGTAGGTAAGTTTAGCTGTCAAGTAAAATCCGTGTCAAAAGGTTTTAGTTATTTTAGACGACCTAATTAATTTTTTATATGAATTAATTAAAGCATAAAGATGGGCCTATTATTCACCGCAATATTATACCCATATTTTTAGCGCAATTTCCATTCTGGAGAATTGCGTTTATTAACCCGTCATTTCTGGATGGATGGATGGATGAATGTATGGATGTGTGTCCGCAGCTTTAAGTCGTATCTCCTCCTCAACGAAGCAATATCGATGACGAGTTACAAAAACAATTATGTTAAGCAAGTTACGAGGATGAACATAGGCCATAAAAATTCCGGGTTTCTTTTATGGATTTCCCAGAAAAGACAAAAAACCTCGAAAAAAATTCAGTTTTTGGCCCATATCTCGGCAACCAGACCACTTAGCGACTTGAAACATGTACCAATCGATTCCTGCCATAATTTAGAACAATATTGCCGAAGAAAGTTTTCAAAAATATCCTTTCGTTTGGTCACCAAAAAAATTTTTGAATTAATTAAAATTTGGACCGAATTAGTAGGCATTTTATGCAACCACACCACACGCGTCATCACGTTCAATAGCTGCGCCATCACGTTCAATGGCTGCGACATCACGATCGGTAGCTAGGCGCGCAATGGTTTTTAGTCATGTTACTCTATTGTAAATAAAACATGTAAAATACTGAAACGTTTTAATAACTAACCAATGGTTTTACTAACCCTGCTCTTGATTTACGCTACGACAGAGCTATTTTTAGATAACATAAGGAAATTGCGCTAAAATTGTCACTAGACTTTTTTTAATTACTTGTTTTGTAGTTCGTTTGGTGCGCAATTGTGTTTTAGTCATGCAATTCTTAGCATTAAAATGTTTTAATAACAAGCTTTTATACAACTATGCACTCAAAAGGAGAAAAATAATGATTTTCTTTAAATATAATATTGAACTACTATTTTAATAACTAAAATTAAGCTTGGGTTATTACATAAATGCTTGTTATTAAAACGTTTTTACAAGCTTTAATTTAACTTGCTTCCTCTGCCTGTCTTTCTATTGGTCGTTCTGCGGCCGTATGGATCGCAAATGGCGAGTAAATGTTCACTTCTAAATCTAAATGACCAATTTCTCTGAAACTTCGCACATGTGTCAAGACCCGATGATAATGCAATTGGATGCTTAATTAATTTTTAAAGAATCAATTGTAATTTCTTGTGAACAGTACTATTTAACACGCTATTAAACGCACATTTTTCATGTTCATTTAGAGCGCAATTATTTTTTAGTCATTCAACTCTACTGTATTAAATGAATGTCTTCTTTCTAACCCTAAACCATTCAGTGAAACAAAACATAAATTTAAAATTTTTATTTTGAGCTCATTAGCACTCTATTTAGCACATTTTACTTGCTATGTGTAAACCAACTTCTTATGTTTCAATTATAAACCTGTTCTTGTAAACTAATTAACAACCTACTACACATATAATCTCCAACTTTAATGACTGCATCACAGAGGTTTTAGAAATATGTGTTTTTATTTGTTCATTTCCCCTGAACTATATTTAATCCAGATAATTTGAATAGATAAATCAGTGGTGTTGTCCTACAAGACAAAACATCATTAACATTCAGTGGCGGAACTAGAAAAAAATGGCCACCCCGCAAAATTGTGTATAGCCCCCCCCCCATATATATATATATATATATATATATATATATATATATATATATATATATATATATATATATATATATATATATATATATATATATACAAACCGAAAATATGAACAGAGCATAGGACACTCATTGCTGGCCTGTTGAATTTTGAAAAAAAATGTTTTTTTTTTCAATTAAAACAAAGTACTACAAAACGTCATGTGTGTAAGTGCATTAGTGTGTTTTGAGAAAATCAGTTTCATTTTATCTCCTATGGGTTCTCTTAACATCTAACTGGCCAAAAGAATATAAAACATGAAATCTTTGTAGAAGTAATGGTGTCTCGTGTTATGATTATTTTTATGTTTTTTTTTGTATTTATGTTATTAATTTTAAATGCATTTCCTTTTTATACAAGGTCATTCTTTAGCAGGTACTTTATGAAAAAATATTTAGTAAGAGAAGTAATTGCTTTTTAATTTGTTTAGTACAAATCTATTAAAAGGAGCTTATGAGCACCCCAATTTGACTATTTAAAAAAGGGAAATAAGTCATGGAAATGGTTTGAACGTTTGCTTATCTTAGTTAAGTTTAATTGTAGAAGAGAGAGGACTTGGCTTTCACAGTGGTTTAAAAAGAAAGGGAAAAAGAATATACAAGAGCGTGGGGATGGCGTCTATAGAATAAAGATAATCAAACCGCAGCTATGGTAATGGTTTTACAAAACAAACATCAAGTCAAAAATTGCAAGAAAATTAGATTTTTTTAAATATAATAAAAACTATTAGGGTCGGCCGTGGGCCCCTAAATGGCGTGCCCCCCCCCCCCCCCCGCATTGCGGGGTCTGGCGTCACTGTAGTTCCGTTCCTGTTAACATTTGATCACTAATGCAATTAAAGCAAATATACATATATTTACAACACGTTTATCTGCAGCTAAATATAATCTGTTACAACAATATTGCAAAAAAAAAAGATGAAACACTACGTTTAAAAAAAAGATACTACAAACATTTTGTTTTAAAATTACAAGAACACATAGAAATATTGTTTTAATAGTTAATAGTAGTAACAGCACATTTTCATTTACAAAGTTTGCCATGAATTTCATTAGCACAAAACTTATTAAGGATTATTTTTTACATCCTGTACTCCTATAATCTACTATAAAACGTTGCTAATTTGTAATGTAGGTTACATCTCGAATTTAAACAGTAGATTTAAACTAAACTACAGCGTTATTCATAGAAATTACCAGTGACTTCACTCGAAACATTTTAGTGTTGACATTTTTAATTTAGGGAACTGGCGCAAACATAGCTCTAGTAGTGAGAAACTTTTAGTTTTGAGTTTCTAGCGAGATTTTGCAGTTACTTTTAGTCTATTTTTGCAAGACAAGCCTTTGTCTGTTGTGAATTAGCCTTCGTGTCTTACCTTGTATGAACTAAACTTTGTGTGTTGTATCAACTAGCCTTTATGTATTGAGTGAACTAGTCTTTAAAAGGGTTAGGCTAGTAATCGAGTTCTCAGCTTCTCCGTGACGTCATACTTGAGTCTCCTCCCCTCGTTCATGACGATGATGTTTTCCTCAGACACCGCCCCCAGGATGTCACGTGGTAAACGATGACGTAACTGGCTGTCAACCATAATCACAATGAGATTAGGATTAGCGGGCGTCAGGTTGGATATGGCTGACCTGCATGTGTAGAGGAACCAATCGTCTTGCCAGTGAAAAGTTTCGGTCACGACCAGAAGCACGCGCCAACTTCTATTTATAGCATCGATAATTCCAGACGCGAGGTCGGTTGAAGGTAAGAGGTCACGGTCACGAATAAACGTCCTTAACCCCAAAGTGTCCTCGATAAACTGTCTCAGGTCATGACAAGCGAACTGGTAATCTCTATCAGCATAACCAATGAAGACACCAATCTCGTAGTTGGAAGGTTTCTTTAGAAATGTTTCACTAAACAAATTCAGCAGCCCAGAAATGATGTACGTTTTGTACTTGGTAACAAAAAAACACAACACAAATCCAATGATAAGTAAACAAAATAAAGTCAGAGAATAAGAGAGGAACATTTTCCCCCAGCATTGACGCCAGTAAGCCTCTAGGTCTGATAAAACTGCCGTGTTTGTTAAAACTCCGTCGTTGTCAATACAGGAGTAGTTTCTGGCCATGTCTAGTTCCACCGTGGTCATCTGAAGCCAGTGTAGAAACTGTATGTCCATGCATCCACACGACAAGACATTTCCATCCAGAAACAGCCTCAACCCTCCATTCCCAGCAGCTAACGTGTCCAACTCCCTTCTATCTATGGCTGAAATCGATATCAATGCATTGGAGCTTAAGTCTAGCAATTTTAAAAATGGCGTGATTGTCAAGTCAAATGGAATCGCTCTAAACCTGTTCCCAGACAGGCGAATCTCAAAGAGATTTGGATTAGAGCTGAAGGTACGAGAACTTAACGAGGTTAACGAATTAAACGATAGATCTAACTGCTGCAAATTTTGTAAGTTGAGGAACAGACGCTCGCTGGAAGATGACATTTGCTCTCTGTTTAAATTACACCCCGATAAGTCGAGAGCCTGCAAGCTGGGCATCGTGTCAAAAAATTGTGCGTTCAGTTCAAATAGATCGTTGCCAGAAAGTAGGAATGTCCTGAGTCCCGTCAAACCTTTGACTAGCGCGTTAAACCTGGAGCCTCCTCCATCAGATAAGTCTAGATACAAAACATGTTCAGCGCCTATAACTCTAAAGTTCAATTCAATGGTGAAATACGAAAACACTCTTGAAATTACGAAGTGTTTGATTGATTTTGAAACGTATAAAATTGCCTCTCCATTTTCTTGAAGTAATCGTTCTGACTTATGGGGAACGGACTGTTTATTCGATGAATTATTTCGTGTCGATTCTTTAAGTTGAGCATTTCTGTTTGTACTTGCAGTTCCTATTTCTTTTCTGCTGACGATTGTAATCTCATGATCTTGATTTGCTACGCGAAAGTCTGAAGTGTAACTGCTTGCTTCATGGGCAACGGTGTTTCGTTCAGCTTCATCAGTGTGTGTTTGGTTAGATCCACGGTGTTTGCTCCAGTTATCCGATGTTTTGTTTTGTTCAGTTACAAAAGTACCTGGTTTAGAGTTTGGTGGTAAAGCGTTACGAAATAAAATCGTCTCCAGACTCTTCATACCCAGCACCTGAAACAGGACCATCTTGGTGCCGAGGATTGGGTTGTCGGTTAAGTCAATGCTCTTCAGACACCGACTCCACACCTGGCTTGCCAGAGCGTTTGACTCAATAATAAATATAGCGCAGTTTTTTAACACCAGCTGGGAGACACAGATCTGCCTGAGGTATCTGGTGGAGTTGGGCGTCAGGATGCCGTTCCCGCTGAGCAGACTTGAGTACTGCTCACCGTGGGTCAACCTGACATTGACCAGTTGTATGGACGCCATCTTGCGGCTGATGAAACATTGAAACGAATCAAACACGCGGTGAAGGTGAGACTGGACGTTGGTTAGAGACAGGTTTTGAATGTTGACCAATGGCCGAAAAGCTGAAGAATTCAAATAAAGAAGAAATATCATATCTATCAGGGAAAGAACTCTTAGCTGACTCAAATTTTCAAAACTTGAATTTGTTATTTTTATTGCTTCCCCTGTCACTTCTAGTTCCTTCATCTTTTTCAGTTTACTGAAGGTGACATCAAAGTGAACAGTTTCACCATAAGAAGATATGGTCAAAGATTCTAAATTCCCCAGCTCAGAAAGGAAATCGTACCGGACCTTTCTCCAATCTCTGAAAACTCCATCTTGTCGCATGAACAGCACCGTCAGGTTTTTCAGAGCAGCGAAAGTTTTGTTGGGGATGAAGGTTAGCTCTAGTCCATTAAATTCCAGATTTAAGAATTCCAAATGTTCTAGCCCACGGAACGTGTCTACCTCAAGTTCTTTGATTTGATTGTGAGATAAGCTAAGGCGTCTTAGACGGTGTAAAAGGTTAAAGTTTGCAGGAACAGAGGTCAACATGTTGTTGTCTAATAAAATAGACGTTGTATTTTCTGGAAACCATGAGCTGCTAACATTCGTTAAAAAACTACCTTGACAGTCAACGATCAATTCGTCCTTGTCTTTAAAAACATCACAAGGTGAAGGACTGGCCATAACATCTGGTGACTGAATGTTGGAGTCAAGTGTTGACTGACGCCAGTTGTCAGTTATATGACTCAGCGTCTGATGACCAGGTGATTGATCGTCTTCTAGTATACTAAGGCCGATCACGTGATGGACGTTGAGGCTCACCATGAAGCAGCAGACAAAAATGACCACTGGTCTGTTAGGTTTGGCTCCTGGCATCCTCTCTGTCGGTCAAGGTGTGGTGTAGCTCTAGAGGTGGAGTTTTCTCAATGATCTTGACCGACTGACCACATGGTCAATTCCTTCATAAAAATTTAAAAAAAAACATTTTGAAAAGAAATTAAATCATATTAATTAATTACCTTTTTATAAATTATAAAAGACGCGTTAACAAATGTGAATGTGATAAAGACTATATCAATATGTTGATAACAAACTAATAATATTAAATATCGTTCTTTCCCCCCCCCCCCCCCCAATAATGCTGTTGTTGAATATAATAATGGGAATGTGAACATTTGCGAAATAGGAGCTAGTCTGTACTAGTAATGTACGGTGGGTGATAAGCAGAGTTTCTTCCAGGTAAAAAGGAATTTATATAGAAAATATACACTTTTACCAGTGCAATGACTTGTTCTCTGGTAACAAATCTGGAAGTTTATCTATTTGTTTACATGATATGTCGCGTGTGAGGACTGACGTTGATTTTATTTTACTAGTAGAGAAATGCGTATGAGGGACGGAAGGGGGGGGGGGGAGGTTTTAAATACAACGTGTGGCGTGTCTATGTATGAGGGTGCTGACTGTTGTATGGGAACATCAGTTTAATGGTGATATGATTACATGTTTTGTAATGTATTAAACATCAGTTTAATGGTGATATGATTACATGTTTTGTAATGTATTAAACATCAGTTTAATGATATGATTACATGTTGTGTTATGTATTAAACATCAGTTTAATGGTGATATGATTACATGTTTTGTAATGTATTAAACATCAGTTTAATGATATGATTACATGTTTTGTAATGTATTAAACATCAGTTTAATGGTGATATGATTACATGTTTTGTAATGTATTAAACATCAGTTTAATGATATGATTACATGTTGTGTTATGTATTAAACATCAGCTTAATTAAATGGTTACATGTAATGCAGTAAACATCAGCTTAATGATATAACTACTTAATTTATAGTGTAATGTAGTAAACTTTAGCTTTATTTAATGATATAACTGCATGTAGTATGTACTGTATGGAGCTTGTAGTAGGCTACTTACTCAGTGGTTTTTTTCGAGACTTTTTTCTCCGGGGGAAGGGGGGGGGGGGGCTTGAAATTTTCGGGGGGGGGGGGGTCGGTCGACATTTTTCGGGAGGGGGGATGGGGGACACTAGTAATAGTGTACGTTTACTTTATAAATTCCATCTCGTTCGGTGGGGGGGGGGACGGTAGACTTTATTCAGGGGGAGGGGGCGCCATCACAAGATTTAACCAAACTATATTTAACCAAACTATATTTCGATCTAACAAGCATCGATAGAATGTAAATAGGTTGTAAAAAAAATAATATCCTCGTATACTTGTTTGTACTGTCCTACCACTCGATGTAAAATAATGGTTTGTGAACATTTGGTAACTTTATTTTCTACTTATCCCGACCATCTCCCCCCCCCCCCCCCCCCCCCCCACCCCTTCTTTGCTGGTTCCATTTCATCTCCCCCGCGTGACGCAGCTTACAAAAATGTTGGCAAGCGGTAATTTTTTTTTTTGGTCTGTATGTGTCACATGGAGCCGTGTAGCAAAAATATAACCGTCATGCTTGAATGCTTGCTGTTGTGACAAGCTTTTATAGACCTAAGCTAGTCTGGTATTTCGATGTATAGACTAATCCTGCATATTGCACAAGTGTTGCACATCTGGTGTGCTAGATATCACATGAATCTATCTTAGAAATTAAATTGCCTTATCGCCACTTTAGAAAGAAAAAAAGCCTCATTTGATCTGTTTTACTGAATTAAACGCAGTCGAGAAAAGAATAAACCGGGAGTGATCTCCCCTAAACTTTCTCGAATATTCTTATATAAAATAGCAGGGGATGGGAACTCGGGCTATAGACATGATTTTTAATCCATTTTAAATACTTAAAGTTTTAAAAATAGAATAAAATCTCGTAGAAAAATTAATTGCACACCAAGTGAACGCCAAATAAAAAAGCGCATAATAGTGCGCAATATTATTAGTACTTTTAAAATTTACATTAGTTTTTTGAGAAATCGGAAGTAGCGTAAATTACTACTTCCAGTCAACGGAAATTACTCAAAATTTTACAGAAGGTAGAGAATTAGATCTTTTACTTACATGTGAAATTTCATTTATCTATCTGAAATAGTACGCAAGTTATAGGCTTTTGAAAAATTCAAAGTAGGAAAAGTACCACTTCCGGTTATCGGAAATCCTTCAAAAGTTGATACGGATCTACGATTTTGATAAAATACTTATATATGAAATTTCATCAACCTAGCTGTAACGGTACTCAAGTTATCGTGTTTACACACGGACACACAGACACACACACACACAGACACACACACACAGACATACGGACAAGATTGCAAAATTATGTTTTTCCGTATCAGTGAGGTGTAAAACGTCGAGATCTGTAAAAATCTCGATTTTTTTTTTTCACGATTACAATACTTTCTCTATACTTCGTATATACGAGAAAGTAAAAATGTGTGATTGTGCTATTGTCTTTATCCTTTGCATCACAGCAAATTAAATGCTTTAAAGTAGTTAGTGACCGGTAAAAAGCAACTTAAATTTTGTGAGTGGGGCAGTACTGATCGCTGCACATCTGTGGGGTTTTAAACTAAAGACAATGGCAAAATTCTAATTTTCTCTTTTTCAACTTGTTGGACCCATGTGGTATAAATTATGCGTGCAGTTCTAAATAAAGAAGGTTTAAAATGACAGACCTACTTATCTACGCAGATATTTAATTAAACCAGGTTCAGTTTCAAGCATTTCCAGCACAGTTGTTTCATTTTCTTCTGCGATTCCCAGTTCTGTTTTGATTCCCAGTTCTGTTTTTACTTTCTCGTATATACGAAGTATAGAGAAAGTCTTGTAATAGTGCAAAAACAAAAATCGAGATTTTTACAAATCTCGACGTTTTACATCTCACTGATACGGAAAAACATAATTTTGCAATCTTATCCGTATGTCTGTGTGTCTGTCTGTCTGTCTGTGTGTCTGTGTGTGTGTGTGTAAACACGATAACTTGAGCACCGTTACAGCTAGGTTGATGAAATTTCATATATAAGTATTTTATCAAAATCGTAGATCCGTATCGACTTTTGAGCGATTTCCGATAACCGGAAGTGGTACTTTTTCTACTTTGAATTTTTCAAAAGCCTATAACTTGAGTACTATTTCAGATAGATAGATGAAATTTCACATGTAAGTAAAAGATCTAATTCTCTACCTTCTGTTAAATTTTGAGTAATTTTCGTTGACCGGAAGTACTAATTTAAGCTATTTCCGATTTCTCAAAAGCTGCATGTAAATTTATAAAGTACTATCAATATTGCGCACTATTATGCACTTTTTTATTTGGCGTTCACTTGGTGTGCAATTCTTTTGTCTACGAGATTTTATTCTATTTTAAAAACTTTAAGTTTTTGAAATGGATTAAAATTCATGTCTATAGCCCGAGTTTCCATCCCCTGTTATTTTATATAAGAATCTTCGAGAAATTTTTGGGAGATCACTCCCGGTTTATTATGTATTGTGTTACAATGTATAGGCCTAGTTTGTCTAAAGGTGTTAAGGTGATAGCCTATTCACGATGGCTAACGTACTCAATCATCACTCACCTAGAAATACAGGAATGCACGGGTTGCCATCGATTTAATGCACAAGTACCTCCGCCGTGGTTGGACTGTCCAACCCGTTGAGAAAATACCGTGTCAACGCTTCATCTAACTTTCCACTTCGCAAGCAATGCCTATAATAAGATGTTTAACAGGCAACCCTCCAGTTTTATGTTGCTCGGATGTACAAAATAAATTTTACAGTTGACTAATTTTTTATTGACGCAGTTTTCTTTTGCTTGCCTGAACCTTTAAGCCTGACGTCACTGAAGGTCATGGACAACTATTTGCAGGTATAGCAATTTAACGAAAGCACGATTTGTATTATACAAAAAACTCAGGGTAACTTGTCCTGTGTGGGTGCCGGTATACACAATTATTCATGCAGTACAAATATGGGTCAGTAGAGCGTGGATTCTGGATGTCTTAACGGTCTGATGGGCAAGCGGAGAATTACATTCACTCCTGGCTTAATGTTTGCATATTTGAAGTATCCATGTATAAGTGTAAATATATATATATATATATATATATATATATATATATATATATATATATATATATATATATATATATATATATATATATATATAATTATATATACATATAATTAAACATATAAATATAAATAAATTTATATATATATATATATATATATATATATATATATATATATATATATATATATATTATAATTTTATATATATGCATATTTACGTTTGTTTATTTATAAGTAGATGTGTGTACTACTTTATGTGTATGTGTGTGTGTGAATATATATATATATATATATATATATATATATATATATATATATATATATATATATATATATATATATATATATATGTATGTATATATATATATACATATATATGTGTGTGTGTGTGTGTGTGTGTGTGTGTGTGTGTGTGTGTGTGTGTGTGTGTGTGTGTGTGTGTGTGTGTGTGTGTGTGTGTGTGATCAGTGGCAAACCCCACATAAATTCTTAACATGACACCAGTCTTAAGTGCATATAAGAATAAAATAGGGAATCCCCTCAATTATAAGCACAATATAAAAATGCATTCTTAAAATACAATGGGCTAGTCCACATCAAGGCCATACAGATACAGATACGGATACGGATACGGATACGGATACGGATACGGATACGGATACGGATACGGATACGGATACGGATACGGATACGGATACGGATACGGATACGGATACGGATACGGATACGGATACGGATACGGATACGGATACGGATACGGATACGGATACGGACACGGATACGGACACGGA